AAAAAAAAAAAAAAGAATAATTTATTTGGTTTTTTTGTTTTTTTTTGGGAGACAGAGTCTCACTTTATTGCCTTGGATAGAGTGCTGTGCCGTTATGGCTCACAGCAACCTCGAACTCTTGGGCCTAAGAGATCCTCTTGCCTCAGCCTCCCAAGTAGTTGGGGCTACAGATGCCCACCACATTTGTCCAGTTAATGTTTTTTTTGTTTGTTTGTTTGTTTGTTTTTCTAGTAGAGACAGCATCTCACTCTTGCTCAGGCTGGTCTCAAAAAAGTAATTTGTTTTAATTTTACTTTGTGTAGAAAGAAGGGTAATAGGCCTGGGCGAGGTGGCTCACACTTACAATCCTAGCACTCCGGGAGACCAAGGCAGGCAAATCACCTGAGCTTAAGTGAAACCTTGTCTTGTAAAGAAAAAAAAAAAAAAAAGCTGGGCATTGTAGCGGGCCCCTGTAGTCCTAGCTATTTCGGAGGCTGAGACAAGAGAATCACTTGAACCCAAGAGTTTGAGGTTGCTGTGAGCTGTGACACTAGAGCACTCTACTGATGGGGACAAAGTAAGACTGTCTTAAAAAAAATAAGTGTTGCTGATTCATGAATGTGCTTTTTGAGTCTTTAAGTTTCTTAATATGTTCCCCACAGTTAAAAAAAAATTAGATCAACAAACAGTAGAATTCTTTAACATTAAAACAAGTTTTTTATTTAACAGGCAGAGGACCAGTGCATTAAAAACAGTTTTGTTGAGGTATAATACCCATACTGTAAAATTCACCCATTTTTAAAGTCGATCTCATAGAAGTAAAAAGTAGAACAGGAAACAGTAGAGGCTGGGAAAGGTAGGGGGAAGAAAGAGATAGAGAGAGGTTTGTTAAAAGATACAAAATTATAACTAGACAGGAAGATTAAGTTATAGTGTTCTATAACACTGTAGGATGTCTATAGTTAACACTGTAATTTCAAATAGCTAGAAGGAGGATATTGAATGTTCCCAATGCAAAAGAAATGGCAAATGTTCACCATGATGAATATGCTAATTACCTGATTTGATCACTGTGTTATGTGTACTGTAGCTTCACTGTGTACCCCATGAACATGTACAGTTATTATGTGTCAAAAGCAAAACATTAAAAATGTAAATAATAAAGTATTTCTAAACTTTAAAAAATTTGCCTATTTTAATGTACATTTGATCAATTTTAGTAGTTGCACAGCTGTTCACCACCATCGATGTTTAGAACATGCTTCCTTGTATAAGTGGGATTTCTGGGTTGTATAGGTGTTAAAATTAACGAAAACCTACCAAACTGTTTTCTAAAGTGGCTGTGTTCCATTTTATGTTTTCTTGAGCAGTGTATAAGACTTTCAATTTTTCCATATTCGTTTTGACACCTGGTAGTGTCAGTCTTTAATTTTAGCCATTCTTCTTGTGTAGTAGTGCTATATTGTGGGGTTTTTTTTTTTTGAGACAGAGTCTTATTTTGTGGCACAACTTGAAACTCTTGGGCTCAAGCGATTCTTAAGCCTCAGCCTCCTGAGTAAGTGGGACTACAGGACCACAATGCCTGGCTAGTTTTAGAGATGGGGTCTTGCTCTTGCTTTGGCTGGTCTCGAACTCCTAGCCTCCAGCCATCCTCCTGTTTCAGCCTCCCAGAATGCTAGGATTACAGGTGTGAGCCACTGTGCCTGGCTTTTTTTTTCTTACTGATATAGTTATTTATAGTTTCTGACTGCTAATTCTTTGTTGTTTGGGGGGGTTTATATTGCAAATATCTTAATTTTTTTCTGTGTTCTCACTTTTGTGGAGCAGAACTTCTTAATTTAGTATAGTTAAATATTAAAATCTTTACTGATTTGTGCTTTAATATATTGTTGAAGTAATCCTATCCTATCATGTATTTTTTTCTAAAGGTTTAAAAATGATTAGAAAAAACTAGCTAGGCATGGTGGTGCATGTCTGTAGTCCCATCTACTTGGGAGGCTAAGACAAGAGGATTGCTCAAGGTCAAGAGTTTGCGGTTGCTGTGAGCTATGATGCTATGGCATTCTACCCAGGACAACAGAGTAAGACTTTGTCTCAAAAAAAAAGAAAAAAAAGAAAAGGTTGCCTTTTCCATTTTGGTCTTCAATCTGTTAAACTGAGTAATTAATTTTAAAGATGGGGGTTCCACTGCATTACTCAGGCTGGTCTTGAACTCCTGGTCTCAAGCAATACTTCTACCTCAGCCTCCCAGAAGCTGGGCTCACAGGCATGAGCCAAGGCACCAGGCCTTTCAGTTAGTTTAAATTCAGTTTCTTTTCCTTGATAAAAGCGTTTTCCCTTGAAGTCTGTTTTGTCTTAAGTTATAAGTAATATCACTACTTCGATTTTCTTTTTTCCTGGTATATCTTTTCCCATTCTTTTACTTTACTTTTTTTTTTTTTTTTTGCCCTTAAGTTTTAGTTGCGTCTTTATAAAAATAGCCTATGTGCATGTGTATGTAAAATCCATCTTGATAATCTGTTTTAAACCAGAGAATTTTATTCTCTCTTCTTCCTTGCCTTTGTTCCTTTGCTTTTTTTTTTTTATTGAATTTGAATACCTTCTTCTATTTTTCCTTTTATTATATTCCTTGAAAGTTATACTTTACTTTTTTTTTTTTTTTGAAACCGAATCTCTGTCTCCCTCCCTGAAGTACAATGGCATTATCTTAATCCTAGCTCACTGCAACCTCAGATGCCTGGCCTCCAAGTTCTTGCCTCAGTCTCCCCTATAACTAGGACTACTGATGTGTACCACCAGACCTGGCTAATTTTTCTATTTTTTTTTTTGGTAGAGATGGCGTCTTGCTCTTGCTGAGGCTGGTCTTGAACTCCTAAACTCAAGTGATTCTCCCATTTGAGCCACCCAGAGTGCTAGGATTACATGCATGAGCCACTGTGACTGACCCTAGGATTATTTTTCTGTTTTCTAATGTTTATTTAGTGAAAATATAAAAACTTGTGAATTCTGAAAGTCTTTTAAATTTGCCTTTGCTAGTTGAAAGTTAGTTTTGATGAGTGTAAGCATCTACATCAGGGTTCAACATGCTTTTTATGAAAAAGGCCAGGTAGTATTTTGGGCAGTGTGGGCTATATAATCTTTTACTGTAAATTTTTTCAGCCATTTAAAAATTATTCTTGGGCAGCACCTGTGGCTCAAAGGAGTAGGGCGCCAGCCCCGTAAGCCGGAGGTGGCAGGTTCAAACCCAGCCCGGGCCAAAAACTGCAAAAAAAAAAATAATTCTTATCTTGTAGACCATGTAAAAACAGGCTGGATTTGACATTTTATTTTATACCTGACACTTGGAGTAATTCTTATGATGTCGTAATGGATTATTAATTGTCTTTTTTTTTTTTTTGAAATATTCTCACTCTATTGCCCTAGACTAGAGTACCATGGTGTCAGCCTAGCTCACAGCATCTTTAAAGTCCTGTGCTCAAGTGATCCTCTTGCCTCATCCTCCCAAGCAGTTGTGACTACAGGCATGTGCCACCATGCCTGGCTAATTTTTTTTCTATTTTTAGTAGAAAGGAGGTCTTGCTCCTCCTCAGGCTGGTCTAGAACTCCTTAGCTCAAGTGATCCCCCTGCGTCAGCCTCCCAGAGTGCTAGGACTGTAGGTGTGAGCCATTGTGCCTGGCCTGCCTTACCTTTTTTGTTATTGTTTTTTTTTATTTTATTAAATCATAAAGAGTAGATCATGTGTACATTTTTAATTATTGAGGAATCCTCTCTCCCTTTTTTTTTTGGCTGCTTTTATTTTTATTTTTTTTTTTTAATTTTTGAGACAGAGTCTCCCTTTGTCACCCCTGCTGGAGTGCTGTGGGGTCACGGCTCATAGCAACTTCAAACTCTTGGGCTTAAGCAATTCTCTTGTCTCAGCTTCCTGAGTAGCTGAGACTAAAGGCTCCGCTTAGCCCTCTTATTTTTAGAGATGGGGTCTCCAACTCAAGAGCTTAGGCTATCCTTCCACCTTGGCCTCCCAGAGTGTTGGGATTACAGGTGTAAGCCATTGCACCTGGCCTCTTTGGCTGCTTTTAAAAAGCTTATTGTTTCTGTTGTTGTCTCCTGTGATGTATCTAAGTATGTATTTTTATTTTCGTTTAACTTGGTCAGGGTTTGTTGCATATTCAGAATGTCTCTAATCTTCAGTGTTTTCTTCTAGAAAATTTTCGCCATTATCTCATATGTAACATAGGAGATGTAAAAAAAAATTCATTTGAAGGTTTTTACAAAATTATAGTGTAAAATAGTATATCTCCCTCTTTGAATTAAGTGCTACATAATTTCTGATGATCTCAGAGCTTCTTTTTATCAAATAGTGATCACTTTTTGGTTTGGCTGCTGAGAAATACAGTGCTAAATATAACACTAATATGAGGTGTCTAAGAACTTAGTATATTTGTACACATTTTCCTGTACATTATAACTATTTGTGCATTATAAATGCACATTATGAGTATATATCGTCACTTCCAATACCAGCTGCAAAAAGAAAAGTATATACTGTAAATATACATTTTACATTATTAATAGTTAGGATAGCAAAAGTATGACTTGTCATTTGTTTTTAAACCATATTTAAGATAATTCTTTGTACCAGTATTTTAATGGATTAACCACACAACTGGTGAGCCCTGATTATTCTTGTTATTTGAATGTTTCAAGTTAGCAAGGTATATTGTAGTGCTTTAATATAGACAACTTCTTTCATTTCAGAGAACTCAATTTCTTGCATCTGCTGAACCTCAAAAACCTCGACCAAAAAAAGGTCTGTCTGCAATTACATTGTATGTGTATATACATGCAGGTTTCTCTGTCTTGATTCTTTATGCTTTAGACTAGAGCTTTCTAACTGAGGGTCCAGGGTTCAAGTTCCTGTTTGGACATCAGAAAAAGTGAGTATGGGGAAATGTAGTCTAAATGTTTTGTCACATCTAACTTTTATTTTATGGAGTTGTTAGATATTAGGAGATTGGTTTGACCAGTGAAAGTTTTTAGATGATGTTTGATTATCATGTAAGATTGTACTAATGTTTTACTTGTGGAAAAACCACTCTGTGAAGTTCCCATAGTACAAATCAGACATCATATAATCTTATGTGGATGTTAAATAATTGTGAGATTTTATAAAAATTGAGTCTATGCAACCTAACTGGGTAAAGAGCTAAACTGTAAGGAGAGCTGCATTTTATAATCTGATAGAGATTTGATACATATTTTATTTAGAGGAACCGGATTCCTTCTTTTGCTAACCTGTAGTCTTAGGAATGTTTGCATCAGGCTGAATTCGTTCATTCATGTATCCATCTATCATTAATGAATTAATTATTTTTAGTTGAGGAAACCAAGGGTGATTGGTCATAAAAGGTTATAAAGTGAAGCCCCTTTTCTTGCCACTGCCTCTGTCAGTCGTGATTTCAGTCACTTCAGTTTTCCCATACTATTCAAAATAGTCTCTTAGGTGATGTTTTTCAGTTATCTTCTTTAATGCCACCAACAAAGATCTTTTTCACAGTTAAGTGGGTACCTGTTTTTTTGTTTGTTTGTTTGTTTGTTTGTTTTTTTGAGACAGAGCCTCAAGCCCTGGGTAGAGTGCCGTGGCATCACAGCTCACAGCAACTTCCAACTCCTGGGCTCAAGTGAGTCTTCTACCTCAGCCTCCCAAGTAGCTGGGACCACAGGCACCCGCCACAATGCCTGGCTATTTTTTGGTTGCAGCCGTCATTGTTGTTTGGCAGGCCCGGGCTGGATTCAAACCCACCTTAGGTGTATGTGGCTGGCACCTTAGCCACTTGAGCCACAGGCACCAAGCTGGGTACCTGGTTTTTGAGAAGCAATAGCTGTCTTTGTTGCCACAACTCTTCCATCCACCTGTGTGATCTTGTGTTCATTGTTACTTCCACTTCCTCCACAGTGGCACATGTGACGAGCCCAAAGCCCTCGGAGCACTTGGTGTTTGAAACACTCATTACCATACAGTCTGTGAGTGTTCCCCATTGCTTGGAAGGGCTCCTGAGACTCACTTGTTTCAGAGTTCAACCCTCTGATAGAGAGTTCTGCAGCTATTTGGGCTCTTTAGGAGATTCTGACTAAGATATGATGATGGTGGGAAGAGAGACTAATGATGCTTCCTTGCAGAGACCACAGGCAGGAAGGAGTAAGCTAACATATCTCGGTTACTTTATTAAATCACCAGAGGGATGTGGCTGGTTAGGTGTGGCTGGTTAGGTGAGGTGATTAGCTCTTGAATATTCATTCTACCCTGACTCTATCGTCAAACTGAATGGTTTCATTAATCCAGGTCTAGGAGAGGATTGTATATCATTCTAGAATTGAGCCGTTCCCAATTCAGGATGATGACATACAAAGTTTTTAGCTTGATGTGTTATGCTGTAAACTTATTTGGTCCATTCTAATAATTTTTTTCTCCCTTCTAGATCTGGGGGGCAATTACTTTCTGATTTCTGTTATTAAAGTTTATAATTTTTTTCTGTTTTTGAACCCCATGTTCCAGGACTAGTAATGATAGGTGATGGAAATACAAAGATAAATAGGGCTTGTATTCATCCCTCAGGGAATTGACAGTCTTTAGGGCATATAGTTAAAGTGCAGTGTTTTCTCCCCAGATGGTTTCTCTGAGACCTCTGATACAGGGATGATAGTAATAAAAATGTCCTACACTGACATTCTTTTTAAGATTTATTATATCTTTTTTTTTTTTTTTTGAGACAGAGCCTCAAGCTGTCCCCCTGGGCAGAGTGCCGTGGCATTACAGCTCACAGCAACCCCCAACTCCTGGGCTCAAGCGAGTCTCTTGCCTCCGCCTCCCAAGTAGCTGGGACCACAGGCGCCCGCCACAACGCCCGGCTATTTTTTGGTTGCAGCCGTCATTGTTGTTTGGCGGGTCCGGGCTGGGGATTCGAACCCGCCACCTTAGGTGTACGTGGCTGGCGCCTTAGCCGGTTGAGCCATAGGCGCCGAGCCGATTTATTATATCTTTTGATGTTACAGATACCATATTGAAATAGAAAGTGCTACAATTCCAATTTGGCATGAAGAAATTAAAATTACTGCATAGCTACTTCCAGATTTTTCATATTTTCCAGCAAAAATTATAGGGGGAAAAACAGGCCCAGAGAGGTTAAATAACTTGCCCTAGGTTCCATAGTAAGTGGTACTGAATTGAGGTTGGAATGTTACATAGAAGGACTTTTATGTACTACGTGCATACTTGCTAGTAGCAGAAGAGATCCTTTAAAACGAAGGTATAATATACTTAGAAAAGCCTGGGCCATTTTAGGAAATTTTTCAACTAAAAATCCAAACTTTATGGCCAGGCGCAGTGGCTCACACCTGTAATCCTAGCGCTCTAGGAGGCCAGAGTAGGTGGATCGCTTGACCTCACGAGTTCAAGACCAGCCCAAGCACAATCGAGACCCCTGTATCTACTAAAAATAGTAAAACTGAGGCAAGAGGATTGCTTGAGCCGAAGTTGGAGGTTGCTGTTAGCTATGACACCACACCATAGCACTCTACCCAGGGCAAGAGCTTGAGACTCTTTCTCAAAAAATAAAAAAAATAAAAATCTGAACTTTAGTAGTTTTCTGCTTCGCATCCACATAGTCAGGTTACTGTCCCTAGCATTAATCAAAGTTTAATGTAAAGCTTTGCCTTAGGGCAATTCCTAAGAGAATTTAGCATCTTGAGCAAACAGAATTCTTGAGGTGTCATGTTCATGCGGTTAGGCTGCTAAGTATATTTAAAATATAAGTCAGAGCCGGGTGTGGTGGCTCTTACCTATAATCCTAGCACTTTGCTAGGCTGAGGCTGGGAGGATTGTTTGATCTCAGGAGTTTGAGAGGAACGAGACCCCTTCTGTACTAAAAATAGAAAAACTAGCCAGGCATTGTGGTGGGTGCCTATGGACCCAGCTGCTCAGGAGGTTGAGGCAGGATTGCTTGAACCCCGGAGTTTGAGGTTGCTCTCACCTAGGCTGAAGCCAGGGCACTCTCACCTGGACAACAGAGTAAGATTTTATCTCAAAATGAATAAATAAATAAAAAGTCAGGTGTATCTCTGAAGGGAGAAGGGAGGGAAAGAGATGTCACAAAGGAGTAGAATGGGGCAGGGGAATATTGTTGCTAGGTTGCCAGCCTTCTGCCTCCACCGCCTTGGTACTGGTAGGGGGTAGTGTGGGAGCTGGGAGATGAATGAGGTCTTTTTTACAACCAGGTGAAAGGCATTACCTTGTATTTCATCATTTGGCTTCCTGACCTCTGTGCTAACATAGGCTCTGAAAGTGTAGCATCAGAAACAATTACCATGCTTTGTTGTAAAATAGAAGAGGCTCTATTTTGCATTTACACGTATTACCTTTTTTGAAAGATCTTTGAAATAGTATTTCTCATAATACCTATGAAAACATGTAAGAAACAGTATCATGTTTCTTACATGTGGGGGAAGTTGGAATTGACAATGATTTGGCATACAAGAAATTCAGCCTATACATTTACAGGTAAAATTCTGATTATAAATTCAGGCTTTATAGACTCTAGGGATTTCTGAGGTATCCCGAATTCCCTCATCTCAGAGAATAACTAAATAATAACGATAGTGAAAATAACAGCAACAACAGTAGCTCATAATTCTTTAGGGCACTATGTATCAGGCATTATGGGAACCTCTTCATGTACATTAAGGCATTGAATCCTCACAACTCTGTGAAGATAAATATTTGATTCCCTGACCTTTCCATTTAAAAGTGTAACTATGTGCCTTGCAGTCTTTGTCCTCTGCACTTTATTATTCTCCATAGAAAAATATCACTTATATTCTCTATCCCTTCTGTTAGTACCCCAACCCCTATCTCTCGTTGTAAACTCCTAAAAATGAGGGAGTCAATTTTGTTTATTTCTGTATCCTCAGTGCCTAGCACATGGAGGCACACAGAATATTGGTTGAATAAATGGTCTCTGTTTTACAAATGAGGAAATTATAAATTCCCCAGGATCACTCATTTGGTAATAGAACAGTTATAACAATTATGGGGCACTGAAATGTTCTCTTAATTTTTTTTTTTTTTTTTTAAAGACAGAGTCTCACTTTACTGTCCTTGGTAGAGTGCCCTGGCATCGTAGCTCACAGGAACCTCAAACTCCTGGGCTTAAGTGATTCTCTTGCCTCAGCCTCCCAAGTAGCTGGGACTACAGGTGCCCACCACAACTCTCGGCTATTTTTAGATATGATGTCTTGCTCTGGCTCAGGCTGGTCTTAAACCTGTGAGCTCAGGCACTCCACTCTCCTTAGCCTCCCAGAGTGCTAGGATTATAGACATGAGCCACCACTCTTAGCTCTAAAAGTTTTGATAAAGCTAAAGTTCTTTTAACTATATCTCTAGGAGTGTGAAATGACTTTTAGCATTTTGATTTGGTTGTGCCTTCCCTTCTCATCCCTAGAAATCCATTTCATGAGCCTCTGGGCCCTTGCGCTGTCTTACAAATTTAACAATAGACTTCACCTAGCATGTACAAAACAATATTTGTCTTTTGTGAGAGTTTAACAAGAGGCAAGACTAGAAAGGTCACATTTTATAAATTTTTTCTTTTAGGCTATAGAAACAATGGTACTTAGTCATATTATAAGCTCAAAAGAGTTCACTGTCTCCTCATTCACTCTTTCTCCTTAGTGGGTAGGTGACAGAGAGGTGGGCCATACAATTGAGGGTTGGTCCAAGATTACTCGGTAACCTGCCTGTTCCAGAACTATTCATTATAGCGCAGTTCTTTACCCACTTTACACACACACACCCCTACCTTTAATCTTGGTGATTTGTGTGGCTTTTAGAAGGAAAATTAATTCTGGACGTGGTTAGGCAGAATATGGATGGCTAAGATCTGGTGATTGATGAGGTCTAGGGGAAGAGAAGAAAGTAGAAAGGGTGAGTCTACTAAGAACGTATATAGGAAGATGAGGAGTTATTGCCTAAAATTTTATCTTTGTCCTTTTTCCTGGCGTATAAAATCATATCTATACTTTCTTTTTCTTTTTTTTTTTTTCCTTAGGCAGAGTCTCACTTTATCACCCTGGGTACAGTGCTGTGGCGTCATAGCTCACAGCAACTCTTGGGCTTAAGTGATCCTCTTGCCTCAGTTTTTTTAATTTTTAGTAGAGACAGGGTCTTGCTCTTACTCAGGCTGGTGTCAAACTCCTGAGTTCAAGGAATCCACTCGCCTTGGCCTCCCAGAGTGCTAGAATTACAGGCACAAGCCACCACACCCAGCCAATATACTTTCTGTCATAATTTTCTTATGCATATTCCATGGATATACCCTATTAGGAGGCAGCAAACAGCATTACTTCTTAATATTTGTGTTCAGGCAACATTATCTCTTGGTTATAGTAAGGTTTTTCCCCTTTCTGGAAACATATAAATGGACATATAAATCTTAGGTTTTCTATAGGTTATTTTTCCTAAGGTTCTGGAACGTCAGGACATGGGTTACAAATCTTTTCCCTCTTTCTCTGCTCTTCCTTTCCTTTTACATTTTAAAAAATCAGGGACTGTCTCACACATATCATAAAGTTCACAAAAAATAATAAAAATACACTAGCTGTATTTAAATAAAACATTTAACCATGTTTACCTTAAAGCTTTTTTTTTTTTTTGAGAAATATGCATTAAAGAAAAAATTGAAGTTTCCTTTCTAACTTTTCCTAATCTTCTTCTCTCTTCATTCCTCGAGATGAACTATTTTGGGGAGGGGGCGGGGCTGGGTTTGAACCCACTACCTCCAGTATATGGGGCCTGCACCCTACTCCTTTGAGCCACAGGCGCCGCCCTTTTTTTTGAGGCAGAGTCTCACCTTGTCATCCCTAGTAGAGTGCGGTGGCATCGTAGCTCACAGCAACCTCAGACTGTGGGGCTTAAGTGGTTCTCTTGCCTCAGCTTCCTGCGTAGCTGGGACTACAAGTGCTTGCCATAATGCCCGGCTATTTTTTGGTTGCAGTTTGGGTTCAAACCCGCCACCCTCAGTATATGGGGCCAGCGTCCTACTCACTGAGCCACAGTGAATTATTTCTATAGATTATATTAAATTTCTAAAGATTATATTAAACTACTTAAAATATTTTTGGTAGTCTGATCTATCAGATGTAATGTTAACTATGTTATATATATTTTGTTAGTAACATTCTTGAAATTTCCTTTAGAAAGTCTTTTTGTTCACCTTTGTAATCAGGGAGAGAGAGTTTCCTAAGAAAAATATGAAAAAATTTCATATTTTTTCAAACTCTCATAAGAGTTTTTCTTACAAAAAGAGAAAAGACAAAGGATGATTTTTATGTTTTTCAGGCCAAGTTATCATTTGAAAGATTGATATTATAAACCACAAAAACACAAGAGAAATATATATTCAATGTTTAATACTAGGACAAAAAATCTCTTAGTTTAATAGTTCATACATTTCTTATGCACTATAATCTTAGCAGCAGCATTAAGAATTTAATGTGAGCCTGGGCGCGGTGGCTCACACCTGTAATCCCAGCACTCTGGGGGGCCAAGGCGGGTGGATTGCTTGAGCTCAGGAGTTCAAGACCAGCCTGAATGAGAGTGAGACCCTGTCTCTACTAAAAATAGAAAAACTGAGGCAAGAGGATCACTTGAGCCCAAGTTGGAGGTTGCTGTTAGCCATGACACCACAGTACTCTACCCAGGGTGACAGCTTAAGACTGTCTCAAAAAGAAAAAAAAAATTTAATGTTATACTGCTGTATGTATATGGTTAGTTAAGACTTGAAGATAGTGCTAGAAGAGAAATAATGCTGATGATTGTGTTGTTTGTCTTGTCAAAATACGTTATCTAGCTCCAGATTTTCCTATTTTGGAGAAGCAGAACTGGTTGATACATCTCCACTATATCCGGAAGGATTATGAAGCATGCAAGGTGAGAGGCACTAATGATAGAGAAAACGTGAGGCAGGATGTTGGGTAGGATACAGAGGATGGCAGTTTCTACCCCAATAATAACACATGAATTCCTCTTTCCCCACACCTTGTGTATTGGTTAGCTTTTACTATGATATGGTATTTACCAAACAGTCTCAAAAATTTCAGTGCTCATGGGCTTTCATAATGGCTCAGTGTTGGTGGGATTGACTGTAGACCTTGGGTCAGGTTCAGGTGTGTCCCATGTGTCTTCTTATGTCAAGACCAAACCGAAAGGGCAGCTACTCTCTGGGACTGTTGGTCTTCTGGTGGAGAGAGATGTTCATCTCAGTGTTTTATCTAACTTTTTGATCTTTGGATAGGTGGAAAATGATATTTCATTTTTTATTTTATAGTTCTCTTATGGTGAGGTTGATCATCATTTGTATATGTAAAAACCATCCATATTTCCTTGTCTGTATATCTTTTTTTTTTTTTTTTTTT